TCTTAGGGAAGCATGTCACTTCACAGTAAGAACATTTCATACATTTCATGCTTAAGTTGAGAATAAAAGGGTTGCAAAAACAAAAAAATTCATATGGCAAAAAACGAGCTGTTGCCCCAGCTTTTCATAATAGATAATCATACAGGATTAGTGTTCATTTAAATTTTTTTAAGTGGCCTATAGATGGAAACTCATAGGAAAGATAAAGTTTAAAATGCCTTTGGTTACCTCCATGGTTCTGTCATTCAGCATCAGTTTGAGAAAAGGATCTTCCGTAATTGTTAGGTTGCTGTTTCCATTGTAGTAAAGTGTTTCAAACTGTTTCCACCTGAAAGCAACTTTTTGATTTTAAGAGAAATCTTTTATCTCTTTTAGGAATTACTCCCACTTTTCCTGCAAATATTGTATTAAATAAAAACATTTGTTCTGTATCTAACAAAACGAAAACCTGGGCTTTGTTGTTTGTTTGTTGTTTTTTTATTTGGTTTTTGAAGAAATCTCACCTTTTTGTTTTAGTCTGGAGAACAGAATAAAATTCAAAGTTGTTGACATATTTCCTGCCTGGTTGAACATTGAATCAAACCGTGAAACTGATTCCACTGCAGGCATTAATTTGCAGTTATACTTTCATACACTTAGAGCTGGTAGTTTATTTGAGGAGCAGTTCTGTGAGTCAACCGGTTCCCCCGTGGGCCGCAGCTGGAGCGGGTCGAGGGCTCCACCCAGCTGCAACCAGCGTCATATGTGGTCACAAATTCCCCAGCCTCCCCACAGCCAGACTGTTTAATTTATGCGCATTGAGCTCCCTTCTCCTCCCCTCCTTTGGCTGCAGGATGTATTGTCCTCCGCTCTCCAAACTGAGTTAAGTTTTCAAGCAGAGCCTTTCACTTAACAGACCCGGGGGAGGACTAAAGAGCCACTGCTGGATAGCTGTTGTTGGCAGCCAGATGTCTGTCTGTGGTAAGTTTGAATGTTTGCTCTGGAATGTGGTCCCAGTTTCATCTGGAGATTCATTGAAGAAATCAGATTTTTTTAAAACAGCGGCTTGCAGATAAAGATGGTGTTTTGTGCTTATTTTGACCTTTACATGTTGAAATGTGTCTGTCTCCAGTCTGTAATATGGAATAATTAACTCTCTTCAGCTCAGCTTTCAGGTGAAGGGACTCCATAATCTGCTACATTACAGTAACTCTTTGAATCAACTTTGTCAAAGAAGGAGGTCAAGCCTGTATCTGTCCGTAAACTGTTTTTAAGGTCATCTTCTAGCTGTTCTTTTAAAACTGAACCCAGGAACAAAGTCTTTAACATGCTGAAGTAAATGATTTGCTGAGACTTTGGCCTGGTTCCTCAAGACGGGTCAGATGAGCTGTAAAAACACTCACACCCTGGCCCCCCAGGGCACGGGGATCTTTTGTTTCTCTGTGATGCTGCGAAATGTGACCCAACACTCTCCTTTTCAAGCCCCTGGAGCTGAAGTGTCATGCTTCAGCTTTGGCTCAAACGCCAGCCATTAGCAGAAAGACGTGAAAATAAAGATGCAGACTGTAAGAAAGAGTCAAAGCTTGAGTTTAATCCTTGTTCCTTGTTTGTTTTCTGTGTGCACATCCAATTGTAATGGGGATCTGCATTCACAAACCATGTCGGATAGGCACTGAGGCTGCTGCGGTATCATGTGGCTGTGGTACAAGGGGTTGCTTATGTGAATCGGTGGCAGCTGGAGGCAGAAGAGTGGCTGCAGCCAGGCACAGCTTCTTACTCTCCTCTAGTCTTATTTATTGGCTGGTTTTGAAAAGCTGACAGGATTTTCAGCCTATTTTATACCCGGGTTCATGCTGTATACTGTAATGAATAGGCCTCTATTTCTGGACAGTTGGACCCAGTCACAGATTGTCATGACACGAGGCGAGGGAGCCAAGAGTCTCGCTTTTCACTGCAGATGACTGTTCTCTGCAGGAACATTTGCATAACGTCAGGGTATGGGAGATGCATAATGATGATGATGATGATCTGTGCAGAGGTTTATGAGTGTAGTAGCTGCTTATTACACCCAGCATGTGTTTGTGTGCATGTGGTGCAGAAATGGCCTCCTTGGTTTTCTTCTTAAAAGTCTCCAATTTGACTCTTTTCTGGAGATTTTTATGTTTTATTGAGATGGTTTAGTTGGTTGGTTAAGATCTGAAGATTCTGGAACTTAATTAAATTCATCAAAACAAGCAACTTCCATTATTCAGACTAAAAACTCAAACACTGACCTGCTCTTTTGATGCACATTTTTTTTCATTTAGCAAAAACTATTTCCAAAGAAGCTAAATTGAAGTAGCAGATATATGTAACGACTTGGTGGAAACCATAACAATAAAATGAGACATTTTGGTATACAGAATATTAACAATGCATACATATCAATTGGAGAAAAGTTATATAAAGAAGGGCTCCATAAAAGGGAAAAACTTAACATTTCAGAATTCAGAAATGCAGAGATTAAACTTTTTTTGTGGTAATTTTCTGCAAACGAACAATTAGACAAAGGGTTCCAGAGAAGCATGTCTTCATATTTGATAGAAAGCTGTTGTAACAGTGGTAGATGGAGAATCTTGGCTTGTCTTGTTGATTAATTAGGTTTACTTTCATTAAAACATTGATGGTTGGGAAAGAAGCTTAGATGCAAACATGAGGATAATATTGTATTCTCTTTCTTCCAGGTGCCAATGTCTCTACACTATGAACTAAATATGCATACCTCATTTTATCGTTACCTATTTTATGGTCAATTACCCAAAAGTTCCTTCACTCTTTCCCTACATGTTTAGTGGTTTATTCCCTCTTAGTATTCATTCACTCTTTTTCTCTGTTTTTCCATCCTTCTCTATTCTGTTTGTTTCCCTTGTTTACTTCCTTGCATATTTCCAGCTTCCTTCTGTCTTTCTGCTATTCTGATCTTTCCTGAGTTTCTTCTTTTCTTCTTCTGTTTTCCCTTCTACCTCCTATTTTTTCCCTCTCTACTTTACTCTATTTTTTTTCTTGTTTTTCCTTCTTATGGAGGAATTTCCTTCTTTATGCTGACCTCACAGCCTTTGCTCTTCTTTCTAACTTTCTCCTTTCCTTCATGATGTCCTTCCCTCTTCCTTTCCTTTTTTCTTCCGGTTCATCTTTCCTACCATCAATCCTTTGGATGGACCTTTTTTCAGGCTCCATCTTTAAAGCCCATTGCTGTTTGTATTTATTCTTTATTTTCATGGTGAACTTTTTTATTTACGTTTAGACATTTGCTCTCTGTTGAATTGCTGACCTATAGTGGTGGAAGTTTTTGTGGCCCCCTATATTCCTGAGGGTTAAGTTGTGCAGAACTTTTACTCATAGAGGGTTTGTCATGATAAATTAACAGAGAGATTATATATCTGACGACAAACAGAGGCTGGTGTGCCTCCTGGATACAATCTTTGGGGTTGGTCTCTGCCTCAATGACATGGATATGTGTGAATGAGCTTCCTTTAGCGGGTGGCGAGGTATTGACGATGAAAGAAGATGCTCAAAGAAGAGCCGCTGCTTCTCCACATTAAAAGGAGTCAGTTGGGGTTTCAGGCGTTAATTGGTTGCAGTTTACTGGCCAATCACTGTCTTTCAAAAGACAGAGATTCCTGTTCTGATTTTAGTATCAGTATTCCAATCTTGCTTTATTGAAAAGGGCGCTGAAAGAGGCTGATTTTAGACCTTTAGAGAGGTAAATAAGATTGATTTTACATCAAAGTAACATCTGATCAAAGATCTCTCAAAATGGAGAAAAATTGACAGCCGATCAATCGGTGCATCTTTTCCCTACCCACTTCCCACTTGGAGAAGACCTATAACATCTTGGACTCCTGGATGTCGCTGGGAAGAGGGATATCCAAGGTTCCCTCCTGGATTTATTCAAAGTAAATATGTATTCAATAAAAGGGGTTTATTTCAATAATACCTCTTCGATCAGCTGTTCTCCTGCTACATAACCTTAGCACTACACTTGGATGTCATAATATTTATTGTCTAATATCTCAGCTGCTCTCTGCATAGTTTTACCGCTCAACGACGGCAGCCTGAGTACAGCAAGACAGAAAGGAGGTGAAGGTGGAAAAAAAAAATCTGGAGAATCTGGATTTGTTCAAAATAAATAGGATGTCCTGATTCTGTGTTTCGTGGCGCGTTCATAAACATTATTTTCTTTCTTTAAAAAAGTTAGTCTCAAATTCTGTTTGCACATCTCACTGAGGATGTTAGTGACATCAGTTTGAAGATGGTTAATTTGTTTATTTTAATCAGACTGTTAATGCTGAGGATTTAAAAACATGTTAATTGGTATTAATCGTTGTCAATTTCTGGAGTCGGATCAAATCAGGTCAGATGGAAAAGAATATTAAAATGATCAAAAACTGGAGGGCCATTTTTTAACTTGGTTAAAGTATTATTTTTGGGCTCTTTTCTAGCATGAAACGGCAAATATAGTTTGATTTGAATTATGATTTCTGATTCCTAAACAGATGATTAAAATCATACAGTCAGTTTCTCCATAACTGTAGTTGCATAACTGAAGGAAGCTGAACTAAAGTAGCATCCATGAGTGGTGTTTGTACCAAACTGACTGCCTGCACTACTCCATGGCCTCTTAAGTCTATTCCCATTGACTTGGAGAGCGAAGTGAGTATCGAAGCTGCGTCACTCCGAGCCTCTCTTGCCCCTGCAGGGTCACATCTGAGGAGGGAAGGGATCACTGAGCAGGAAGATGACAGGCCGGTGAAGACGCAGCTTGAAGCCCCTGGGGATTTCTGCTCTCCTGTTGCTTATCTCCCCTGCTTCCTGCTTGTTTGTGTCATTCCTGACAGAGCAAAAGTTGCAAACAATGGCTTATCATGACAGTTGCCGCTGCTGAGACGGTGTCCCCTGCTGCTCTGCGTCTACACAGCGGTTTGTTCCTTTGTATCCTGGTGGCTTTTCTTTTACGACGTCTGCTTCTGTATCTCTTGCAGGATGGCTCTGTGGGGAACCTTGATGACCTGGCTCAAGAGTACTCGCAGTACTACGGCACCTCACTCAGCGACGTGTGCGAACGGATGGAGGAGCTACGGAAACGCAAATTAATACAGGAAATGGAGATGGTGAGGAATATTCAAGCATTTCTATAGGATGTTTTACTGCAGTGCAGAGAAAATAAGCTTGAGTTTGCTAGAAATCTGTTGATCAGGCAGTAGAGAAGATTAAATGTCCATCTCTGTGTAAATATACTTCCTAAAACAGAGGTGTGCAGCTTATTGTAAACAGCAGAAACCTCAATAACATGTTCTGTCTGTCCAGGGTAGTATTTTCACCTATAAACTCAAAGGAGCTGTATTTAGTCTCCTCTCATATAATTTAGAAATGTTTCCCTCCGGTGGATTTGAAATGACTAACCCTTATAAAAATAAATTCAGTTTCTAAATCTTGGCTTTAGCAGGAATCCTTCAAAACGCTGCAACACTTTAGTTTGCAAAAGTGCTCCAAATATAAACGATATTAGGGGACTCTTAAGCTAAACCTGTAGATTTTTAGGTGGAATTTATGTTCTATTTAAACTGTTTATTTGTTCATTTTAATCATGCTTTCATTAAATAATTTTTATGAAAACCTTGTAAAGCTTTCAGGAAGAACATTTCCTGCTTTGTGCATCTGAAGAATAAAGGTTGATTTAAGATCGACTCATCCATGTTCCATTTCATGTGCATCGATCATTTTGAAGCAGAAGATTCGCCGAGCAACGCTAAATGTTGAGTTTTAAGTTAAATTCTAATAACCTGAGTGTCTCTGATCGTTAATGCGGTGAGAATAGCAGCTCAAGTTGTTTTCTAGCGGAGGAAATTGTTAGCAGTTTCTATTTAGGTATAGTTTAGAAGTTAATTAGAATATTTCACATTTAATTGAACATAGAAAGTCAAACACATGACGAGCATCCACTGACTCATTTACAGCAGATATTTATTCACACAGCACATCCAAATAGGTTAGGCTATAGATTATAGGTTAGCTGACAGTTGTGTAATCATCCTGAAATAAAGGATGTGTGACTAAAGTGGTGAGGAAAGGACATGGAGGAAGATCCGATCAGTCACCGTCAAATTTAAAAATGTACCGTAACAAAAGCACCGTCTGGGTTACAGAAGCACATGACTTTCCCTAAACATTTTCTCCAACTTTATAAACGTACATTATTATACTTAAAGGTTTAGTTACACATATAGAACTATATATTCATGAGAAAGGCTCCAATAACTGTTAAACATTTGTTTTTATTACCTGTATTATTATGGAACAACCACTTCCGTCATGAATTAATAGGGACCAGTGGCGGCTGGTGGAGTTTTTGTTGCCAACAACAAAAAATATTATAAAAGCACCATATAAAAACAAAACATAATTTCATGTACAGGTTTACTTTTTTTAAATCTTGCCCTTCTGAGGCTTTGTGAAGGAAAATCTGTGTTTTGCATGGGAGCAAATATTGTTTTTTAAACCCAAGAAAATACTGTATCAGTTTAATAATGGAGAAGCTATTAGTCACCTTTACCTTTTACAATATATTACCATACAAAACTATTTTCTGAGAATTTGTTTGTTTAAGAGCAACTATGCAAATGAACAAACATCTAGAAAAATTATAATTAATAATATATTATTATCCCAGATTGCTCATTCTTCTTTTTCATTTCTAAAAAGTGCTTTAAATCAGTCCTACCTGTCTTCATCCATGCTGGGTCAGATCCTGATGTTTGAAAAAGGAGGCAGGCAGCCAAGGCAGCAGAATAAAGCATTAGCCTCGCTGCATGCAGTTAGCCAAGCCTTATAACTAAACCAGGTCCTGGAGAAAGACTGACTGAACCGTCTCCATCCCTCTTTGTACTGCTGATTATTTTGATGTTCAGCTGATCAAGTCCAAACAATTTCACCACCAGCTTCTCTTGGTAAGTTTGCTTCCCTCCCACGCCTTGGCCTGTCAATCAACCGCGCAACATCTGTGATGACAGTTCCTGTCCCCTCAGGGTAGAGATGTCCCGATCCAGGTTTTTGCACTTCTGATCCGATACCGATATTGTTTTTGGACTTCCGATCCGATACCGATACTGGCCGATACCAGCCTATCCGAGCATGTATTTAAGTTTAGGTTAAAGTATTTAGCCTTAGTTGTAAGACTCATGTTGAAAAGGGTTGTAGTACTCTTGATAACATCTAGCCAGCTGAATTAGGTGAGATTGAATAAAACACAATGATTGGTAACAACAAACTTACCTGTTTATTAAGAGATAAACACAAACTGGACAAAATTATGAATAGCAATCTAATATTGCAAAGTGAACAGTAAAACCGTAAACAGTTAAAGGTGCTGTATTACTGTAAGTTTTAATAAAAATGCAAAACAGACAAGAGTGGAAAAAAGTCTATTAACTTAGAATCAGGACTCTACTCTTGAAAAAAGATACTGCTTAAAAAAAAATCAGTGCAAATAATAGTTACACAAAAATGCCTTATACTCCCCAATGTCTTCCACACCTAGTCTCCATCTACACATCGTGCAGGATAAAATAATCCCACACGGCTGACATTTTCCCCGCTATCTTCCAATTCACCTGTTTTAATGGTTAGGCCACGAGACAGACCCAAAAAGACCTGTGGACGTTTTGAAGGTGTTCTGGAAAATGCGGACCGGATTCGGGGAACACTGGCGCAAAATAGTGGAATGGATTGTTTCAATCGGCGAAACTGGAAAATACGGACCGGATTTTTTTTTTTTTTTTAAACTGGATCGGCAGTCTGGATCGGCATTTTTACATGCTTTGCCGATACGCATTTCTTTGCCAATATCGGCGTCCGATCCGATACGTGGATCGGATCGGGACAAGTCTACCTCAGGGCGTAGCTTTGGTGCGACCTGAGCTCTCCTATACCTCAGTACTGCAGAGGAGCTACTGCGCATTTACAACTTTTAACGAGAGTCAATGGCTAAACATCTTTCCACCCTATGGCGGATATAAGTCACCAATCACGAAAAACGAAATGACGCTTTACATGTCGTTGAAGATTGAATATTTATTTTGCACAACTGAAAAATATATATGAATATATTTCGAAATTTTTTTTTGTAAATACAAATTATAAAATATAAATCTTATAATTTCATTTACGTTTTTAAAATTATTATTTAATGTCTTAATCAAGGTCATTGGGCTGGTGGGGCGATGCCCTAGCGCCCTCTATTGGCCAGCAGCCACTGACACGGACAACAGTCAGGACAGCTGCTCAAAGGTCGTTCTCATGGCAATCCAGCAGATGTCATCCTTTAAAACTGCAACAAATGCATCCAAACGGGTGCATCTAATGTTGTTGGTTCATGAGGCTCTGAAATCGCCATCACTAGCCGACGCAACTTTTGCAGCATTTATACTCTGCACGGTTTCTCCCTACTGCAGACGACCTTCTATTTGCAGAGATGTGAAGAGTATTAATGTTTATTACTCAAGTAGAAGTACAAATCCTACTGTTTGAAAATGGTTTTGTAGAAGTAAGAGTATCAACTTATTAAAGTGTAAAGGTACCATTTTTTAAACTGCATAAAGTATAAAAGTAAAAAGTAATGCAGGAAAAATGTTAAGGATCAAAGCTTTAAATCTCATACTGGGTAGCGTAGGACACAGATTGCAAGCATACAGCACAGCACCACTTATAGATTTACAAAACAGTTGTTTCCAACATTTTTAATGCCTGGAGTCATTAAAGAGCAACAATCGTTTCTTTGTGTTCGTAATCTGTTAGTCCCGGTGATCTTTATGGGCCCAATCATGGGATGTCATAAATGTTTGGATTTGCACACCCCTGATGGGAGGAGGAAAAAGCCTGAAAGGTCAACTTTGCTTATAGGAGAATTCTAACCTGTTGAAAAGGATCAGAATCAGTTTGGCATTTTTACTATTTTCCAATATAGTCTCCAAATATTAGTGTCTGTCTTTACTCTTTAAATGCTGTGGTTTTTTATTTATTTATTTTGTTTATAAGGGGTATATATATATTTAGCATCAATCTGCAGCTCTTCCGCATCATCAGCTCCTGAAACGGGCAGGTTACAGCTGTGCGAATGAACTTTGCAAAGAGCAGAGCACTCTGATTTTATAACTTTCCTCAAATTTGTTTAGAGGTTTTAGTCACGCTCACTTAAAAAAAAACTGATGCCGCTATTTTATGACATGAGGCAGTTTTGGCTCAATGTTCGGATGAATTGCCTCGGGGGCCGTATCTTATCCACTGGCCTTGAGGTTGATATAAGATAAAAACACATTTTAGTACATGCGGATTAGATTCATTTGGAACTGTTGACACTTGTTGGATGTTAATTTTTTGCTTTTAGATTGTATGGTTTAACTTTCATTTCAATTCATGACAATTATAAACATGTTCATGTGATAAATCCACTGTAACTTTACCACTCAGTTTAAAACCTAACACTTTTTTTTAACACAAGCTGCAAACGTGTTACATTTAAAACAAAATGCTTTGAAAGCATCTGTTAAGCCTGAGATGATTAAACAGCCGTTGGTGTTTATGCCGAATATTTGTTTACGACAACGCTGCAATTTAGTCCTCCGCCTCTGCTGTTTTTTTCAGGGAAAGGTTGACTCAGCGGCCGCATCACCACACCTCCGCTCTCAGATCCAGGTGAGTGTCCGGGCTGCAGCGAGTCAGACCCCGGGAGGAGGCCGCTTCCTGTGCTGTGCGTCAGCAGACAGACTCGATATGAGGATGAGAGGGTGCTTGGTCATGATTATCACAGAGTAAAGCAATGTGAGAAGCCACAAAGAAACATCTGACCCACTGGGATGCAGAAAACTGTCCTTGAAACAGGTTTTTTTTCCCCCTCACATCCTTTACACGTGCTAAAATTAGCTGGAATGTGAGAAGTTCGTTTTAAGACCTTTAGAGTCTACAGCTTCTGATCGCTGCTGGTTCATACGTGAAGCATCTATCTATAATCTCCCAATGCCCTGAAAGTTCTCTGGTGCAGGAAAGAAGGAACTTTGCAAAGCTCTATTAATGTGCCTTTCATTTCCCATCTCTCTAGGAATCTCTTGGACTCGGCAGTGGCTCACTGATAACAGAGACTGACAGAAGGTAAAATAAAAATGCTGATTGTTCTATCACTGAAAATGTGGGTTGGATCTCCTCCTTTTGGCAGAGTGCAGGTTAGCCTCTCTGCTCTTTGTTGGCCATGTGCGTTTCCTCCCCTTCCTGGTGACCCCCCCCTCACTCACACTCATAAAGCATTTCTCTTTAACCTCCACACTGCCTTCCTTCCATTGTTTCTTTCAAAGGGTTTTATTGATTACTCATATTTTGTCATTAGAAAGTTGAATCATCTGAATAAAAAAATAGTAGAAGTGATGACTAATGCTAAAGCAGCATAAATAAAGATTTATGAGGATTGTATCACAGGGAAGTAACCTAAAATCCGATAAATGATTGTTTTTAAACATTTAATTATGTTGGCATGTCTCTGTCTCTGGATGCAGTTTTATGAAAAAAGTATGTGGTGTTCAAGTTTGATGTTTCATTTAAACTCATACTGCCCCCTTGTGGTTTGCAAGCATATTGTTGAAAATAATGCAATGTATTCCTGTTTATAAAATTGACTATATTTTTATTCAAAGAACCACTTTTGTCAAATATTCCCCAACAGAAGTATACATCTAAATGATTCCCTTTCAAACTTTCTGGATATATATGCTTTTCAAAAAGTAGAAGAAAATACAAAATACAAAAAGGAAGGGAAGCAAAGTTTTGAGTTGCTGTTTATTCTTCTCAGTATCAACTGTCTGTCGAGGAAAACGTGCAGAATTTTCCAAATTTGTACACAGAATTTTTCACGTAAGGCAAATCTTTAGGATTTCTTTTTTTTCATCATTTTCTAAATCTCTAAAATGCTCAAACCCATTTAACATGTCGGCACCTCAATCATTTTGTGTTTTCTATTTTTGACTGTGGTTTCATAGTGAGTGTTTTCTCTGAAACACATAGTGTGATGCAGCCTCTACCTCTTATTTAAGTAACCGGCTGCTCATCTGTTAATGACAAATCAGACTCTGCTAAAACGGGTATCAAAGCTTTACAAAATTAGAGATTCTAAATCAGCCCTAAAAGTCTGATCAATGCGTCTCTAATTAGAACCGACCTGCAAAGCTGCTATTAGAGCGTGTTAATATACAATTATATGATAGAAAGCTGCACAATGTTAGGAAATAAGTTAATGCTGATATAGATGTTGGTATTAATGAAGGTAGAATCTATTTTGCCTACTCTATGTGGTTCTCAGTTTTTATTTCTGTTTATCAGGATTTCATCCAATGCAATTGGCCAGAGTTCTTTTACAAGTTGCTTAAAATATAACAGCCTACCAAACATTGCATCTTAGCACATATTGATTTTGCAATGATAGCTTAGCTTTCAATATTTAGCATCTAAAGCACAGTGTAATAGAACTCTGCATTATCACAATTTAAAGCAATACATCTATATTACTTTATATTAAAGTAATTAAATGTTGCATCATCCTTTTGTTGCCTAATATACTGCAGCAAGTAGAGGTCTGATCTATTTGTAGACAAATGCACTGAAACAAAACAGTCAACAGAAGTCAGCTGAGGGAGGGACTGAAGCCAGCGGTCATGCACAACAGACAGACAGACAGAGAGGGAGTGTGAAAGTGTGCAGGGAATGCAGAGGCCACGCTCATGCTGCTGCTGCTGCCACAAAACCCAGAGCAGACGAGAAAAAGCCTCCATTGTTCCAGCGATGGCTGCAGAGCTCTGACCTCTGTTCATCAGCCCAGAGCAGCCTGTCTGTTTCATCTGTTTTTTGTTTTTCACCAGTTTGATTTGCCTGCACCATCGTTTTGAGGCACAGTGCGCTTTTGTGATTTCCTATTTTTTATTTTTTTTTAAATGACTTTCTTTTGGTGAATCTGAGAAGTTGAGTAAACTGAAAGACCTGATGGGGGGGAAATGGTGAAAGAGCAGTGAGAATGAAGAGAATATTTTTGGATCGGAGGTACTGATCCATTTAGGATGTTTGAATTTATATTTTAAACATTTTAAAGCTCACTATTCTTATTTATTTGTTTTAAGGGTTCCTGTGAACAAATCCAACTCGGATGATGGATCAGGAGGTAAACTAAACTTTCACTGGAGTTTTTTCCACATCCAACCTAAATGATTTTCTCAGTTGATGTCTTTCCTTCAGCATAAAAAAAAAATTGTATGTCTCTCTTAGCGAAATGGGACACGAAGAAAAAAAGTAAGTCTTTATGGCCGAGCTTCCGCAAGCCACAGAAAGGGGTGATGCGTCAGACAAAAGGTAAATAAATAAAAATCAAGTTTGGGTTTATGCAGTTTATGTGACATGCAGATTCTCACCCCTGTGCTCGTTTATTTCAGGTGACGATGTTGGTTTCGTCGCCAGCGAGATCACGATGAGCGATGAAGAGCGTATACAGCTGATGATGATGGTGAAGGAGAACATGATCTCCATAGAGGAAGCTCTTGCCCGGGTATGATGTCATAGTTTCTAAAACATTTTTATTCTTAAATCTATAACTGAAATGATTGACGTTATGATTCAATCCGGCTGTTTTTGGTTCTGCTGAGGCGTCATGGAAACCCAGGATGCTTTGATTGTTTGAAACTCATCTTTAATGCTGGTTCTGCTGTTCCTTTTCTTGCTCTTTAAAATTCTCCATAGGTTCTTTGTTGGGTAAAACACAGTAATACTATAGTTATTAAGCAGGCATCGGTACTTTTGCCTGTGTCCTAAGTCCTGCAATCTTCTCCAAACTCTGCACAATACTCACTCAACATACATCTCTGCGGCTTGTGATCCTCATATTCCACCTTTTTTTCCTTCCACACAATTTTCCTGTAACAAAAAAAATAAAAATCATACGACTCTGTTATTAGCCAGATTCTGTTCCTTAAGCTTTTTGTGAATGGGAGCTGTTCAGTCAGCAGTATCACTATGATCCGGGCCTAAACTTTCTGTAATAGATGTTTTTTATAGTTAGGTTTTTTGTCATGTTGAAATGTTATGTTAGCCATATTAGCCATAAGATATATAATCATCACAATTAGAAGGAAAATAAGCTTTAAATTTATACATCTGCCGAATTAATCTTAAACCGAAGAACGAATTAAACTGAACTTCAGATTTATTGAGATGCATTTGTTGTGTCCAAGTCTGTTTTATTTGACCCCTTTCTACCACTGTTAAAGTGTAGAAAAAGCTTGCGTTGCGTAGATGTTTTGATTTTAAAGGTGATTTATTTTATTTTCTTGCAGCTGAAGGAGTTTGAGACCCTAAACAGACCCACAAGCAGATGTGATTCCCCAGATCCCTCTGGTTCCAGTTCAAACGACTTGTCCAGCTGCACTGTGAGTTTCTCGGCTCCACTGGGCTCTTAGTTACAGTTTTTACGCTGAATCGGGCAGCGCGTTGCGCTTCAGAGGCCTCTGGTTTACTGGTGCCAAGGTGGCTGAGCTGTTGACAGTGCTTCCCCTCTTTCGATTTGCCCATGTCCCAGCGATGAACCGGGGGCCTTTCTAAAGCTCTGCAGCTCGGGGCCCTTTCCCAACTGCAGGGCTCCGGGTGGACCTCTATTCATCTCTGTCAAAGCGCTAACCCCCTATTGTGCTGCTAGCGGGTGGATTGAGCACAGGGCCACTGTTCTGCACGGCAAAGCTCTTTCGTGCCTGGATGGGGTGATTAGGGAGGCTTAGGTTCACAGTGCATTTTTAGATTTGTCTGAACGTCCTGTCTTGTTTTAATAAATTTGATTTACTATTTTAGCTAATTTCCTCTCACGTTGACCTTTTGGTTTATAATCAGCTGTATTTTGACTCCAGATGTGTATTCTGGGTTATACACGCTGCCCTCGGTTCGTGTTCAGATACAATACTGATCCTCCTTCAAACAGTGGCTCAGGTTATTTCCCAGCAGGTGGCCGTCGCTTCTTTCACATCTTATTTTAGTTTGCTTTCACACATAGCGTCTGGGTATGTGGTCTCCATCAGTCACAGTAATATCAGCTGTGGTTTCATACAACATATTTATACACAGGTATGCTCTTTAGCAGCAAGTAGAAACATCCTGTTGCTTGTAGATTCTTTTTTTTACATATCGATAACCTCAGCCGATTTTGTCACCATCCTTCAATGTTATGTTTTTTTTTTTTTTTTTCGAAATGTCTGATCAGACTAAGGTTTTTTTGTGTATGTGTGTACTGAGTGTTTTAAAAATAAAATATTTATCTTGCCTTTCTTTTTGTTCAGCCTCTTGAGCTGTCTGAAAACGAAGAGGAATCTCCAACCTTCAAAAGGCTCCACAAACTGGTCAACTCCACACGGAAAGTGAAGAAAAAACTGATCCGAATAGATGAGTCCAAAAGAACCGGAGCTGATGGTACTGATCCAAACGTTTACAATGTCTTTTTAAGAGTTTTATTACCCCATTATTCTTTCTTCTTTTAACAGAAAAGCCCAAGAGGGTTTGTCAGTTCATAACTTTTTTCATATTCTCAGTGGGACGTAGGTTTGGACCTTGACTAGAGCATTTTAACACATTATAAAGGGCTATAATCAGGAATACTAGCAGGTGAACATCTTCAGCTATCTCAGGTTTTTTTGCAGTGTCAGTTTTTTTTTTTAGAGCTGGTTTGAATTTAAAATCATCCGTTCATTTCAGACCAGCCTCCCTGAATGTTCTGATAAAAAAAAAACATCCCCACAGCATCATGCTGCCACCGTCATGTTTATCTACAGTTTTGGTGGGTTCAGCTTAATGTGCAGTATTGGATGCCTGCCAGACACAGCATCATTCATATGAACTAAATGGCTTAATCTCCTCCAGAGTTATTATAGTTACTAAAACAATCACTGATTATTCTGGAGATATAAACGGTTCATTTTGGTGTTTATCAATAAATGCATGAGCCTTGAAAAACTGATGTGAACAGATTTTTTAGTAAGTAGAAATTATTTATGTCAGCTGCATTTTTTAAATGGTATGCAGTGTTAAATCTTTATTACGGTAAACGACGATTCGACCTGCTAAAACTTGTGATGCAATAAAAAATATGCTTCAAATAAAAAAATGCTGCAATCACTAAAAAGAGTCAAAAAACCTGCAATCAACAAAAAAACGCAAAAAAAAATAATAATACCGCAACTGCAGACAAAATGCTGCAATCACAGGAAGAAAATTAGAAAAGCACTCAGAGCACAGACCTCCATCAAGCAGCTAATAGTCCCCCCATACTGTGATTTAAACCTACAGCTGTAACTCGCACAGGATCTGGATCATTCCGAAATTTTTATGAAGTGTTCCCTGACACGAGACCTTCCCCTGGTAAAAATACCATTAAAATGTGTTCATAACTCTTCAAGTTATCATGTAAAGAGAGAGAATCACAAACTCTCCCTAATAATCTAACCTCTTTGCTGGATGTAATGATGAAAATAGTAAACAGAGCAGCAAACTCACTACAAGATGGAAGTGCTCCAGTCCACTAGAGGGAGTCAAACAAGCCTCATCAGACTAGAAGGTTACATAACTATGCTGTTATTCCATAATACTGTAGCACTATGTGTTTGAAAATTAAATGAAAGATAACAAACCTTTCCTTTCTCTCCTTCATCTTTCTTTAAAAAAAAATCCTGCATTAAAGCTGGACTTTCTGTTTCTACGGAAGGTCTGGTCCAATATGGTTTGTTCATTGTTCGAGTCCCTCTAGTGGTCGGGACTATTTCCATTTTTATGGCACGAGACGAGCTCCGAGCCAGCTCCCATGTCAGAGGATGAAAGAGAGCACATCCAGTTAGTCACAGTCAGAGAAAAAGGACTACACTGGAAAACAGGCCGATCTCCAACATCTAGAAACAAAGGTGTTGATGGCAGCAGCACAGCTGATGTTTCTCTCCAGGATGGAGTCACAGCCAAACAGGAACAGACCAGATGAAGCTACTATGAGAAAAAGCAGAGAGAGCAGAACGTTAGAGATTGAACTAACAGATTCTGCAGAGTGGGTGGAGAAAAGGGGTCCCTATGTCCTCCAGCAGTCTAAGCCTATAGCAGCATAACTATAGAGATAGCTCAGGATAACCTGAGCCACTCTAACTAGCAGCTTTATCAAAAAGGAAAGTTTTAAGCCTAGCCTTAAAAGTAGACAGGGTGTCTGCCTCACGGACTAAAACTGGTAGTTGGTTCCACAGGAGAGGAGCCTGAGAACTAAAAGATCTGCCTCCCATTCTTTGCTTATTGTGACAGGCCTAGTCTTGGTAGGTTTGCAATTGTGCCACACTGTCACTCTGTGAGGTGTTTTTAATAACCTAACCCTGCTTTAAACTTAAAATGTTTATTCCTGACCCATCTTAATTGTTTTTTTTTTTTTTCTGTGCTTCATAAAGCTGTTTAGTCACTGATGTTGATTCTAGTGGATTATATTTAGGGGTATCGGAGGGTCTGAGTACAAACTGCTCTGTCACATTAAATCCTATTAAACTCTGCTGAGGATAGCAGCTGTAACATCACAAAAAGCTGTGAACCAGAAGGTGCTTAGATAAAGGATATTTCTGGGTGATTTTAATATTGAGTGAACAGAACATAGACGTTAATATTTTTGCCAAATCCACATAAATTGCTATTATAGTAAATTTTATATTTTTGCCTTCCCAGAGAGCCTAGGTGCTGATGGAAGCCAGCCCCCGCATTCAGGTGTGCTGAGGACGCCTCCGGTCGGCCCCTTGGACTCCTTGGCTTCAGCTTTGCAGAAGCAACTCACCCCTGACAGGGACTCCGACAGCCTGACTACCTCCCATTCCTCCAGCAGTCTGGAGACATGCAGCAGCCAGAAGATGCTCCAGGCCTGTGGAAAGGTCGGCGGGAGCCCCGTTCACCAGGACGCCGGTGCGGTAGAGGAGGTGCGGGAGGCGGCGGAGGACTCCTCCTTCTCTGACGCAGAGGGGTGCAGCGAAGAGGAGCCCAAAATGGCGCGCTCTGTGACCGAAGGAGAGCTCCGTCACCGCGCTCTGGGCTCGCTGAGCCTTCATGGAGTAAGTCCTGGGAGAAATACATGCTTTTTAGTGATACAGTACTTTGAACATGTGACCATGTGGTTAAAAGATTTTCAACTTAAAAAAAAAAAAAAAAAAAAAATCTACCTTGTAATTCCAGAGGAGTTTTATTACAAACGTTTTTTTTGTGAGGATTTTTTTTTCCATCTGTAAAGGTGTGGCAGGAAATTATCTATAATTTGATTTTTTATTTAGTTTTCTTTCATCAAATCAAAGTTGTCTGACTCCAGCCTGCATGGTTAGGGTTAGCAATAAAACCAATAACTTTGAAGAACATTTAAAAAAAAGTAATTGTAAGATACAATCTTTTCCATTTGATTTTTTTGTATAAATTACTGATTCTGGACTGTAGTGTGTCACAAATGGCTTATAAAAAAATATTGAATCTTAAAAAAAAGGAGACAAATTAAGTTGTATTTATAGATCTAACTTACCTTTAAAAATTCCAATTTTCCAGCCTTCTAAGGGATCAAATAGGTTGATTGTACTTGAGCATTAATCTACATATTTTATAGATGATATGAAAACTAGATTAAATTGAGAATTCCTGTTCTCGCGTATGTAACACGGTTCTGTGTTTCCTCAGGTTTCTGCTTGTAGGTTAAATGCTGCGTTTGTTTGCACTAATTTTTATTGGTCTAACCTTCACTGTTTCTACATGGTGTTTCTTGTAGAGAGCCTGCAGCTTTGGTGGATTTGACCTGATGAGTCGCTCAGTTCAAGCAGCCACTTCGGACAATGACAACACTGTATGTTAAATTATTGCTGACTTTTAACCAATCGAATTATTTCAATGATATTGTTACAGATGTTAAAACCACAATCCTCATTAGTCTGGATTAAATTTGACTTGAATTTGATTATTTTTGGATTTGATTACCAGAGTAAACGGGAATGAATATGTCCTAATTAGTCCTTTTTACTCAACCTTTCTGTCGAACAGGAGATATAATGTAGTTCACAACTTCCACCATATATCATCAGGTTAACTTGGATACATTTTCTACAGTCTTTCTAAAGGCACATATATTACCAATAGGAAAAATAAATAGATAAATCCACAAGTTTATGCTGGAAAATTTGGAAATTATGAAATGTATTGGTGTGAAAGCTTGTAGGGATGCACGATATTGGGATTTTGGCCGATATCCGATATGCCGATATTTTAAAACTCATGTAGCCGATAACCGATATTGATACCGATGTTAAAGCTGGACAAAAATAAGTAGTCATTGAAAATAGCAGTTTTGTTATCCATTTCTGACACTTTGAAAAATAATATACTCAAATATATTTTCATATGCTGATATCAAATTGATTTTTAAAAACGCGGTATCGATCTATTTTACTTTCAAAATCCCATGAAATTTCATCGTTCTGTTACAAACTCTCGTGATATTTTGCAAATTCTTGTGAGATTTTGTTAGTAAAATAGATCGATACCGCGTCAATATATCAACATATAAAAATAGGGCAACATTTTGTGAATTTTCGGGGGATTTCGTAGCATAACGATGACATATAGCAATATTTCATTAGTAAAAGAGATTGATATGGTGTTTTTAAATGGCAATATATCAGCATATGAAGATATTGGGATATTTTAATGTATCAATATTTTTTCCCTCGTCTTTAGAAGTTTTTAAGTCTGTAAAAAAGAAGTTTTTGAGGAAGAAGAAGAAGTAGTATTTTATTTATTTTTTTTTAGACTTCAGAAACTCAGAAGCTGATCAAATATCGGGTTAAATATCGGTGGGGTGGCCGATGTCCGATATTCAGTTTTAAGGCCGATACCGATAGGGGGCCGATTATATCGTGCATCCCTAAAAGCTTGTTATACTTGTTTTTCACCCCTCTCTGTTGTTTTAAACCAGACAAAAGATGGAGAGAGTGGGTCGAGAGGCGAAGTCAGGTCTCCTTCAATGTCTCGGATTTCTCTGGGTAAAAAAGTCAAGTCTGTGAGGGAAACCATGAGAAAACACATATCCAAGAGATACCAGAGTTCTCCCTCTGAGCAGGTATGGTGGGTGGAGCTTTGCTGATTATTTTACCTGCTGAAAAACACTGTTAATAACTTGTTGTTTTTCTCTGTACCAGTCGAGTCCAGACCACGTAGCCAGCTGCCCTCAATCGCCTCAGATGAGCTCTGACTCCTTGGAGAAGCCCAAGCTGAAGCCAGGAGGATCTGTGGAGAGTCTGAGGAGCTCCCTCAGTGGGCAGAGCTCCATGAGTAAGTCAGCAGCTTCTCTGTTGTGGTTTTAGGTAGGAATTGTTTACAGAATTTATTTTAACTTTGCTGTGAAGCACCAGATGTGGTTTTTATCGTCCAGGCATTGAAGGAATCAAAATACCCTTTGAAACAGTCTAAACGTTCTGGTTTTCATTATGTTTAGCTGTTGAAAATGGTTACTTCCACCATTTCATTGTGGTTGGAAAGCAGAAGGAAACGTTTGACAGATACTAAGAGATCTTATTTTCTTTTATTTGCATAGGCGGCCAGACGGTCGGCACCACTGACTCGTCTAACAGCAACAGAGAGAGCGTGAAGTCTGAGGATGGGGAAGAAGATGAGCTGCCTTACCGTGGACCTTTCTGTGGACGTGCACTGGTTCATACAGAGTTCACACCGAGTCCCTACGACACTGACTCCCTCAAACTGAAGGTGCCCTGCTTTAAATCACACATGCATGAACGCCTTGTATGTCTTTAAAAAGGCTCATTCCAAAATCTCCTTAAACAGTGTGGAGATGTGATCGACATCATCAGTAAACCCCCGATGGGCACCTGGATGGGAATGCTCAACGGTAAAGTAGGAACCTTCAAGTTTATATATGTGGACGTTCTGAATGAGGAGGTGAAGGCCAAAAAGACACGCAGGAGGAGGAAGGCCAGGCAGCCCAAACCGACTTCTGTGGAGGAGCTGCTTGAGCGCATTAATCTGAAGGTAGACATCAGAGATCATCGTTTTAAAGGCACTAAGAAGAAAAAACATTGAATTCTTTGTTGAAAAAGATGAACTATATTCAATTCAGTTTATTTCTATAGCGCCAATTTACAACACATGTCATCTCAAGGCACTTTACAGTTCACCAGATCATCCAGTCAGACTGATTCAAAGTTTTATATGTAAGGAAAATCAATTGTTTGCATCGACTCATTGACTCTTCAGCAATCCCTCACACTAAGCATGCTTGTAGCGACAGTGGAGAGGAAAAACTCCCTTTTAACAGGAAGAAACCTCCAGCAGAACCAGACTCGGTGTGTCATAGACATAGAAAAAGAAGCATAGATACAAAAGGCAACTGTAAACCAGCTCCACAGGCAGCCCCGTCCAGGAAACACTCAGCCAGGCAGACGAGCTCCGAGCCAGCTCCCATGTCAGAGGATGAAGAGAGCACATCCAGTTAGTCACAATCAGAGAAACAGGACTACACTGGAAAACAAACCAATCTTAAACATCTAGAAATAAAGGTGTTGATGGCAGCAGCACAGCTGATGTTTCTCTCCAGGATGGAGTCACAGCCAAACAGGAACAGACCAGATGAAGCTACTATGAGAAAAAAGCAGAGAGAGCAGAACGTTAGAGATTGAACTAACAGATTCTGCAGAGTGGGAGAATAGAGATAGAATGATGCAGAATGATGAAAAAGGGGTCTTTATGTCCTCCAGCAGTCCAAGCCTATAGCAGCAGAACTATAGAGATGGCTCAGGATAACCTGAGCCACTCTAACTAGAAGCTTTATCAAAAAGGAAAGTTTTAAGCCTAGCCTTAAAAGTAGACAGGGTGTCTGCCTCACGGACTAAAACTGGTAGTTGGTTCCACAGGAGAGGAGCCTGATAACTAAAAGATCTGCCTCCCATTCTACTTTTACCAGTACCAGACCATACTTTCACCCCCGACCAAACGGATTTCAAATTGCAGGAAACGGCTGTTTTCTACTTCTACAACTTGAGCTTGTTCAGTTTAAGGCTTTACTTCATAATGAATGAGCCACCTGATATTTACATAATTTTAAAAACATAAAACATTTTAATAGCTTCTTTTAGCCATTCCATGTGGCGTCTCTTTTAACACCCTGCCAGCCTCTAGGAACCACTAGTAAACCTGCAGATTGAGAGCGAAGTGCATCACAAAAAGTTAATTGTTGTGTAATAAAAAGAAGAAAAGTTGGTTTTATTTTATTACAGCAGCAACCTACAAGATAAACAATATGAACAGGTCATAATAGTGAAAGTTGGCAGTAATTCTGACACAATATCCCTATAAAAATGCCGTCTAGCAGTGAAAAGGGGGTATTTCAATGAAGTGAAGACTAACCCCTAGTTAATCACTGCCTCAAACACGTATCAGGGCAACAGAGGCTGCTGTGTCTCAACAATACAGATGTAACCATGTCATCCGAAGTGAAAGGAAGTCTCTACAAGCCTGTATTTACTGTGACAAAAGGCCAGTGTTAACCGCAGCTTTGAAAGCCGCTAAACCCACATAAACCTACAATTCTGTAGCAACAAGATTGGTTTATGTTTACAGGATCTACTGCTATGTTTTCTATAATTTAACCGAATGGAAAAAAAGTTCAGTTTACTCTAATTTTTTTTATTAGTACAGTTCACTTACTTTTTAAGGAGAAACATGGTAACTTCAGCATCCCTTTTGAAATTGCTCTCCTTTATTAGCGCCTTCCACCTGGAGAAAGCTTACCTGATGATGATGATCCCCGTTTGTTTGTTTTTTTTGCCTCCAGTTTTGCTGTTTAAGTTCTCCTTTTCGCCTTCTTGTTGATGCTGAAATCGTTTCTTGCGCTGCTGCTGCAGATGCATGGTCCTGCATTGAGCTGCAGACTCTGTTTTTTGGGTTAGCGTCTCCAAATGATCTTCACCGCCGCCTCTCAATCACACTGCACTGCCAGCAATGGAGAAACATGCAGCAATTCCTGTGTAATGTGTTGATGGAACTTCTTTATCCTTCAGCATCTCTACTTTCAAGAAGGCAGACTGTCATGGCGTTTCAAAAACGGGTGCCCAGCCTCATAAATGAACTAATATAATATTCTTCGCCTATGAAAATGTATCTGATTAATAGTGGAGATAATAAGACACAAAAAATAACACGTATTTAAATGCCACTATCAATATCAGGCAATGGAAAAGAAATGTCCCTTTATTAACACATACATTCCGATGTAGACAGACTCTAATTTTTTTTTTTATATTGTTATTTTTTTACACTTGTTGATTTATAAAATCATGTCTGTCTCTCCTCGGTTCTCAACAGGAGCATCTCCCCACCTTCCTTTTTAATGGCTACGAGGATCTTGACACGTTCCAGCTGCTGGAAGAGGAGGACCTGGATGAGCTGAACATCACGGACCCGCAGCACAGAGCAGTGCTGCTAACTGCTGTGGAGCTGCTCCAGGAGTATGAAGGTGAGTCTTTTTGGGCCGGAGAAGTATAGAAACTGGCAGCAGTTCGGCTGTGGATAGATCGATGGGGAAAATAAGATGGGCGGAGAACATATTTTCATTCTTTGCCTCATAGTTGCATCCATTCATAAATTCAACTTCTTTCTTTAATCACTGATCTTTAACAGTCTGAAAATACAAGTAGGTATAAAACTCAGTAGGATCCCAAGATGAATTCAAATATAAATGCAGGGCTCGATGTTAACCATCGCCCGGTCTCCCGGGGGAAGGAGTTTTTATTGTTGGGAGAGTACAAATTTCATTGAATTTGCCCGCCGGGCAAGTGCAACGATCACAAAAAAAAATTATTTATCACTCAAAATTACTTAAAAATAGTGTTGCGCCGATGCCATTTTTTGGCCCCGATACCTGGCTGTCGTATCAGCCGATACGATAACATAATAATGTAAAATAATTGCCATCATGGCTTTGTCAAGCTGCTGCCTTCCTTTGTGAAGCAGGAAAAAAATCTAATACAAAGTGAATCTAGTAGAACTTTTTATTGCCTGCCAGGAGTGGGTGACAATAGTTGAAGAAACTTTTGGCTCTCAAAATGGTATCGGTGGCCTATTTTTTGGTACTCGCCGATACCGATACCACCATTTTAGGGCAGTATCGGGGCCCTGTCCGATACTGGTATCGGTGCAACACTACTTAAAAATCACCGACATTCGATGAAAAAGACCCTGAAGCGTTGCCGGCGGCATTTTTGTTGTTTTGTACACATTCTTGCGTGAATTGAAAAAGCCAAATGATTTTCCACCAGATGGCGTGATTTTTGTCCACCTAGCGGTAATTTTGATGTAGTTGCCAAAACGACAAACGGCTGAATTTATTTTGTCAGGGAAAACTAATCCTGAGTCAGTTAAAAGTCAGGGAATTCTGAAATGATGTCAGACTGTGGAAACCCTGAATAAAATAACTATGTATAATGATTCTCTAGAAAAGTCACATTATATTAATAGTATTATATTGTATAAACATACCGTGAATCTAAAAGAAATGTTATTCATTTGTGACATTGACTTCTGTCTTGTGATTTATCTTAAGTTTTTAACATTTTTTTAGATTTTTAACATTACAATTTCTATTTTTCCAAGCACACAAGAGTTTAAAGCAAAGTTTAGTTTGAAAAGAATGTGCAGGAAGGATTGAAAAGCATGTTAACACGGTAATGTAGGCTTGAGTTCATTATCTGACGCATGCAGATACACACCAGGAACCTGGAAACTTAAAAAATACTGAATTACAAAAAACATTTAAAAAACAAACATGTTTCATTGATATATATATACAAAAATGAATATTAGGAACTATATTTATCAAACATTATACTTGGCAAGGAAAAATTGTTTTTGGGCAAATTAAATTTGAAAGTCGGGCAAGTGGTAATAATCCTTAAAGGAATAGTACACCCAAAACATGATTAGCCTTCATTTTCTAATCACCCCCATGCTGAACAACACTCTGGAGTACTTTTTTGATATCTCAAATGCATCTGGAGATCTGGGAGGCTTCTTGCTGTCTGCTGACATTCAAATAATGGAGGTCTATGGCGCCCGAGGCAGAAAGGTCCATAAAAGTCCACAAAAAACGTGTCAATATTCCTCCATACTGTTCGTCCAATGTATTCCAAGTGTCCTGAGTGGGTAGCGTCCATAATTTACTCGAAACGAAGTCATTTAGAATGTTTTTAGAGCATAAACAGTGGTGTATAGGATTTCCTCAAAGCGCGCGCCTGCGAGTTCACGACTCTACGGAAGCCGGCAGACCAAACCAGATGAAAGTGCGCATTCAGCGTCTGCTCTGCCGATAATGCAAGCGTAGAAGAAGAAATGTGCTGTTTACCTGTGCAAAGAAAGAAACAACGGAAGAAAAATGTCTGAGGACTTCAGTGTTGAGGAAGAGCATGAGTTCTTTGCCGAGCTGAATGCGCACTTTCATCTGGTTTGGTTTGCCGCGGTTTCCGTAGAGTCGTGAACTCGCAGGCGCGCGCTTTGAGGAAATCCTATACACTACTGTTTATGCTCTAAAAACATTCTAAATGACTTCGTTTCGAGTAAATTATGGACGCTACCCACTCAGGACACTTGGAATACATTGGACGAGCAGTATGGAGGAATATTGACACGTTTTTTGTGGACTTTTATGGACCTTTCTGCCTCGGGCGCCATAGACCTCCATTATTTGAATGTCAGCAGACAGCAAGAAGCTTCCCAGATCTCCAGATGCATTTGAGATATCAAAAAAGTACTCCAGAGTGTTGTTCAGCATGGGGGTGAGTAGAAAATGAAGGCTAATCATGCTTTGGGTGTACTATTCCTTTAACATCAACCCCTGAAATGTGAGAGAAATGTGACCCTGGCCCCCTGCTGGTGGTGCTGTGTGTTGCAGGAAGCAGTGACCCTGAGCGGAGCGCTCAGTGCGGATCCTCTCAAGAGAAGCTTCTTCTAGACAGGCGTGGAGTCCTGGGCGACTCTCCGCGGGACTCTGGCTGCTATGAGAGTAACGAGAACCTGGAGAACGGTAACGACAGCCTGACCCGCCTGTGAACTCTGTCCTTTTCTTCGGCCTCCTTATAAAGACTCTCTGGGCCTCTTTCCTTGATGCTTAAGAATTCCAACCCTTCAGCTTTTATGCTCTTTTGGAAAGACTTTTATCACAGTTACCTGTGATGAACTTTTTTTCTCCCGTCATTCCTAATCTTAAAGTTTTCTTTTGCTGCTTCACTCTTTTTTTTTTTTTCATGCAGTGCTTCCAGGCGCATCTGAAGCAACGGCTAAAGACTCGACAGTGACAACAGAACAGAGATGACAGATATCTGTTTTTTATGACAGTAGAAGTTCACAGTGAGAAAGTTTACTCCCCTCAAAGTGGAAGCACACGTGGAGCAGCTTGCAGCTTTGCTCTCAGATCGACCTTCGCTCTGAACTCGTGTGGTGGCTTCTTTTCTGCTTCTGCTGCAAATAGAGACATTCAAACTCCTGTGTGAGAAGACTATTTAATCAACCTCTACGCTTACTTTCCTGGTAACTGCAGTACATACTTATGTGAGTGCTTGGCCTATTTACAGTGACGGTACAGGTCAGAAGTTTACATACAGCCATCACGGACCACATCTGCTCCTTTTCAGGGTGAAATGATAATTTAACGCAATGATTTAAGCTTGAGGTTTCTCTATACAATGTTAGAAAATACACTAAACAAACTGGACCGACCCTGCATGCATAATCAGAACCGCAACAAGCTGCTTGCATGCATGATGAGGTAGCAGGTCATGGTTGTGGACTGATCTCCAATGCACTTTATGACAGATACAGATCATAGCTACCAAGATGCTAAAGCTCAAGGAAGGTGGTGAAGCCATATGGTTATGGTTGAGCATAACCGGTCAAATAATCACACATTAATGTCTCCTCCAGCCTCAATAGGTTAAATCTATACACTAAAGAGAACCCACTTACATTTGGTATCCATTTAAAGCTTTCGGTTTAGTTCTGCTTGGATATTTGATTTTTTTTTCCTGGCAGGAATAGAACTTTTTTTTTCCTTTTGTATATTTGCAATATTTTTTTGATTTCTCAAAACCCTTTGGTTGCTTTTGGGATCTTTGTTCAATTAAAGCAAACAACTTTTTCCATGTTTCAACGGGTTAGCTTTCTTTCGACCATTCTGATAAAATAGAAGAATCCTACATTTTTCTTCTCAGGGCATAAACTTTGGAAGACATTTGGTTTAGTTTCCTAGTTAATTGGCTTCAGGGTGTTGATTTTTGGTCATAGCTCAGTGACTGGGTGTTCCAGGGGTTTCCATTACACAATGAAAGGGGGTTCCTGGTCCTCAGAAGGAAGATCTCTCCTCTAAAGGACAGATAAACGTCTGTAAACATAGTTTTAGATGCTGTTGCTGGTTGCAAGGAACTACAGGAGATATATGCATATATTTTATAATAGCATTTATATTTATTCAGGGTGGAAGTTCAGAAGTATGCAGTAAGTTAATACATAGATGCATCATGAATTCACCCTAGAAAAGAGCTGTTTACCTGCGTCGTTAGAATCATGACTGTGCGTACACTTCTGAACTGTACATCATGCTAACTGTGGTTATTTTCTGGAGTTTGCTAACTGTTAAACGCAGCCGCTTGTAATAATAGTTGAAGAGCACTCTGAATGTCAGCGTGTCACTCTGGGCCTCCCCTGTTCTCTGTTCAGATTCTGCTGTTTGTGTAAAATGTAATGTTGCACAATATTTTATCATGTGCCTGAAAGCTGCTTCATGCAGTGGAATTAAAGGATTTACCTTAAAGTCTATACTTGCTGAAATGTGGGATTTTGTGTAACTAACTTTAAATTCAGTCATTTGCAGAATTAAAGTAGGTCCTTACAGAAGTGACTTGGGTTTCTTAAAGTGGACCTTAGTCATGGTCGAGCGTGAGGAATAAACGGCTCCATGCTTCACCACACTGGGCTGCTTGCATTTCTTTAACGCGTCGTTCTTTCCGGCCTTCGTCACTTCTTTCTGTCGCAGAGTTGCTCTCTTGTTTTATTCGCATTTTCTAGCAAAAACATTCATACCTCTTCCAGTTTTTCACTGGTTCTTGGGTTCTAACCTGATATTTCACTGTTCCGTAAGCAATAGATCAACACAAAGTAAGATTTGTGTTCATTTATCCAATAATATGATGGGCAGCGGTATTCAGCCGCTCTAAGTGCTGTGTAGAACAACCAGGTCATGGAGTGCTGCGGAAACCACTTATTTACATGTTCATTTAGGTTATGTGGGAAAGCTTTAAAAGTTCAGGATATCTGACCTTATTAAGGTTTTCTTTAACCTATACTTTCTTCTAAGTGTGCAAGACTCATAGTTATCAGCAGATTCTTCTACCTGAGTTGTTAATCTCTGCAGCTCCTCCAAAGTTACCTTGGACCACTTGACCAGAACTTTATTTTCAATCTGAACACATTTTTTTCAGGTTTTTATTTGAAAATAAATATTCCCAATTTGAACAACCCTGTGTTGGTCTATCACATGCGGTTGCATTAAAACATAAGGCTGCAGTCGTTACGTGACAAACTGTGGAAGACAAAGTTAGATGGTTATAAAAAACTAAAGTTGGAATATATATAAAAAAAAAACTAGGTTGCACCTGCATGATCCACACACACTTCCCTTGTTATTCCAGGAAAGCAAAAAAAATCACCCGGATCCATCAACAGGTCTTCATCTGGATTTGAGTCCAGCCTCCTCCCCACATCCACTGTCCAAAATAAAACTCACCTGCCCTCCATTCAGCAATCTCTTAGGCCCCCAAATAATTACTTTGCTCCCATGAACTCTGGAGGAGCAATTGCTCGAAGTCACAGCTGCGCGGATCTTAAAAGCAGCTCACCGCCGAACTCGTTGGATTGCTCCGACTCCCTAAAAGCTCTCCACAAAGATCGGTGTAGAAAACAGCCCAACCAAGCTGACCGACTGAGCGCCACAAAGCCAGCTAAGGCCTCACAGCATGCTGTAATTCCTCCTCCTGTTAGCAGAGCTTCTGACACAGACGGAGATAAGGTGTTTGCACAAAAACAGGCAGTTAAAACTGAGAGCAGAGCCATAGAGCTGCAACGAGCTGCAGAAAAGTCAAGTCAACCAGACTCACACCCAGAAGAGCCCTTCACCACAAAAACCACCAGTGGATCTGAGCGCACCAATCAGGTCTCTGCAGAGGACATGATAAGCCAACCGGTTTCAGCCGCTTCAGAAGCTCGACGACTGAAACTCCAAAGAATTAAAAAGATTTCCTCGCATTCAGTAAGTTGGGGGCCTAATGTGTAAAAGGAAGAAATAAAAACAAAGGTCTAAACTATAGAGGAAAAACTGGAACCAGTTTCCTCCTATGTTGTGATTTAGGATGTAGTAAGGAAAATGTTCTTAGCTTTGCTGCTGCTGTATCGGGGTATTGCTTTTCTTCAACTGTGTAGAAAATAGTAACAGAAGAGGTCTGTGCAGGTTTGTTGTTGGACGTGAAAACTTTTTTAAGTTCAGCCCTGTCAGCTGAAACTCTGGTAGAGCAAACATCTCATTAGAAACAAACTTAAGCATTTCTCAGTTTAGTGCCATTAAACATGTCCATTAAGTGCAATATACACTTTCTATTTACAAATAAGATTCATTGAAATGTATTCCTTGTGAAGTTGAATGTAAGTTCGTATCCGTTTCCCACAATTATAGTTTTATTGTATGCATTTTTTAGCTGATCATGAAATAAATTGTTTTCAATGTACAAATATGCTATTAATAAAGATATTGCTGACCTACCGTAAACTTTTGTATTGATAAGAGAGCAAACTAAATAAAATTCACTTAAAAAAAATGGATTATAGGCATAAAGTTACACTTTATTTTCAGGTAGGTATTACTGTTTTACAGTGTAATTACCTTAAACTGATTTTATTCCTGATGCTGCTAAACAATCCAACATGTTGATTACAGTTATGTTTATTTATGGTTATTTCAATTAATTTAATTGATTTATAAAATATTTTTAGATTATTTCATTATACAGGTATGTCTCAAGAAATCTACATTATTTTTTTTTATAATTCAAATCAGCTGGAGACACAAATATCCTCTTGCTGGGTTTTTTTTATGGCCTCTTTGCTTCATTAATAATCCTAAAAGTGCTCAGATGTTAGATTTGATGAGGACTAGCCTCTGCTCTAAATTGGCAGGTTAACGGTTCACAGTTTCGCCTGTTGAGGCATTTCTTGAATGCACTTTCTGACCAACTCCAGGGCATCCAAAGCCGTTCCCCAGGCGATGGTGACCCCCCAACCCCCGTGGCCGTAGTTGTGAACAACCGGCACCATGCAGCCCTGCAGCTGCACCCTCTCCCGCTCCACCCTCGGGTTCCTCCTGCTTGGCCTGAGACCGACCCACTCGCTAAGAACCTTTGCTTTCTTCAGGGAAGGTTCCAGCCTGGCGCAGCGCTCCAGGATGCTCTGGGTGTCTCCTTTGTCCACATGCAGGCGCCAGTCTCCCTCCTGTCTGGTCCCGCCGATGGTGACGCTGTGTATGCCGGGGTAGATGTAGGTTTTCCCATCTCCGTCTCTGATGAAGTGGTTCAACCAGGGGGCCTCCACCTGGAGAACCTGGCCCCTGACTGGGTACACGCCTGCGTCACCCACTAACTCTTTGGAGCCAAGTCCGGAGCAGTTCACAATGAGGTCGAAACCGTCGCTTAGCTCCTGCAAACTGTTAACTTTCCTCTGCTCCACTTGGCCGCCAGCCTCTCTAAACCTTTAAAAAAAATACACAACCAGTAAGATTTAAAATCTCAATTTGCAAAAAAAATTTTGATTTAAGGAGGACAAACCTTTTCTCCAGCCAGGGAAGGTAGCTGGAGCATTCACATTTTATAGAAGTGAACGCTTGTCCGAATTTATGATCTGGAAAACGCTTCAGTTCGCCATCAGCCATGATTCTAAAGCCAATCACCAAGTCAGACCAGAAGGGCGTCTTATTGGCTGGAACTTCCTTAAAAATCTGACAGCTGTAAGAGAAATGGACAAAATCAGAACATGCAAATCGGATCTATAGATCTGGATCTTAGATCTACATATTGTTACCCAGAGCTCAGCATTACGCCGGCATCTGGTGCATGCTGAGACTGAGCAATAGCCAGAAGGTGATCAAAGCTGTCTTTGAACCAGCGTCTTTGTCTCTCCAGAGGAACATCTGAGAGAAAAATGGAGAGAATTATCTATTTTAGCATGAAAAACATCTCGTCTTTTTATTTTTTAAGGCATGTCTCATGTCTTTTGCAAGGCACTGCACCTCGCCTCGCAGAAGTATTCACTAACTGTAAACTTATGCACATTTTAACACGGTACAACTCTAACCTTTCTTGTTTTCCTAAGGATTTTATTTAAGATTTTTTTTTTGCTCCTCTACTTTGATAAATTGAGGACCCACCTGTTGTTGCACTTTGGGGTGTTTGTGTGGTTGTAAAGCTAAAATTTTTAGTTTATCGATTGCACAATGTCTCATTCTCTGTCAGATATTTATGTCTTCCCACAGATTCTACATTAAGATTTAGATCTGGGCTTTGACTAGGCCATTATTTGAAAATCATTGTTCAGCTGAAAAAAAGGAACCATCATATCTGCAAGTCTTCTGCAACCTCTAATGCAGGGGGCTGCAATCTCTACAATCCAAAGAGCCAACTTGACTTCAGTCCAGCTAATAAAACCTGGTTCTGCTGGAGGTTTCTTCCTGTTCAAAGGGAGTTTTTCTTCTCCACTGTCGCTACAAGCATGTTTAGTGTGAGGGATTGCTGAAGAGTCAATGAGTCGATGCAATCAGCTGGTTTTCCTTAGATAGAAAACTTAGAATCAATCTGACTGGATGATCTGGTTGAACTGTAAAGTGCCTTGAGATGACATGATGTGAATTGGTGCTATAGAAATAAACTGAATTGAATTGAAATTAAAATGTAATCTTAAAAAAAGAAATGTATTAACCATCTACCTCAGGAGATTTGTCTTTTTTAAATAACCACCGTGCCATTTAAAATTTTAGGTTCTAAAATCAAGGTGGGGAAAGAGAGAATACATTTTAAATGGGTTCCTGAAATTTGTCTTAAAATTCCATCCATCCATTTTCTTCCTCTTTATCCGTGGCCGGGTCACAGAGGCAGCAGTCTAAGCAGAGATGCCCAGACTTCCCATCCACAAACATTTCCTCCAGCTGCTCTTGGGGGAAACCAAGGCGACACCAGGCCAGCTCAGGGACATAGTCCCTCAAGCGTGTCCTGGGCCTTCAACAAGGCTTCCTCCCAAAAAGACATGCCTGGAACGCCTGATGCAGGCGACCAGGAGGCATCCAGAACAGATGCCTGAGCCTCCTCAGCTGATCTCATGATCATAGGTGAGGGTGGGAACGTAGATTGATCAGTAAATTGAGAGCTTTGTGTAAAAATGATCTTGGTGGGGGAGAATCCCAAGAATCTGTTATATCTATCCATTTTCCATCAGGCTTATCCCTGCAGGGGTTGCGAGGGGTGCTGGTGTCTGGAGGCGGGGTCCCCCTGGACAGGTCTCCAGTCTATCGCAGGACAACACAGAGACAAACAAGACAAACCATTCATGCACACACATGAAGACCCAGAGAGAACGAACGCATGCTCAGGGAGAACATGCAAACTCCATGCAGAAAGATCCCAGCCCAGGAATAGAACCTGGAACCTTCTTGCAGATCTACCCACTGCGCCACTAAGCAGCCCCATTTTCAGTTAAAGTTAGAGTCAATTCGTTTTTGGAAATCAGGGTTTATACAGGAAGGAGGAACTATAATTTAATGCTTTTTAATGCTCTTAGAAATCATTTTAATGCCATATATATATATATATATATATATATATATATATATAAACACGGCCAAATCCTTCATAATCTTTACCATCGACAGGCTGCAGCCATGTCCCGAATTTCTCGTTTTCCAGCCACTTATGTTAAAATTTGCTTTTTCCAATTCTCTAGCTTTTTCTGTGCCTCAAGCTTCTGTTCTGAACAGATGGCTTTAGGATCAATCAGGAGCAGTTCCAAGCAAACAAGTGGAACCATTTAAATCTGATATATTTGCCTCTTTTTTTTTTATAAAGCATTTTAAATGCCATGATAATCACATTTAATGAATTTTAATGCCAATTAAGGCCTTACTTAAAAAAAATATATAATTTAATGACCTTTAATGATTTTTTAATGACCCGCAGAAACCCTGGTAATGCAGTTAAATCATTTTAAAGAATTATCTGGTTCTTTATCATTTGTAGCCAAAGTGATGAAGCCACTCATGGCTCCTGCTCTAACAGCTCTTCTTCCAGGATGACCCTGGATTTCATTTTACTCATTTTCACATCATCTCTGACCATCCCCACAGCATGATGCTGCCACCACCACCATAAGTTCTCCTGGTGTAATGTCTGCTTAGTGGACGTTTGAAGGCAATAACCAAAAAAATAAAACAAAGTTCAGGTAAAGAGGCTTAATAAGAAATCGTGTTTTTTCATTTGCAAAAGAGAAGCTGAAAGATAATATTAAAATGCAATGGTTCTTCTAGGATTTTTTACTTTACAGTGAAGCACAACTTTTCAATGTTAAAAAGCTCAAGGCGCGTAAAACGCAAATGATTGTTTCTCACCTGGAAATTCAGCAGCAAACAGGATCCCAGCAGCTCCATCGCTGGTGGTGTCCGGGCTGAATTTCTCTGACAGAAGAGTCACCGAGCAGAGAGGGAGAGCCTCAGCTATACAGACAGCGGTGGAGAATCCAACCACACCGGCCCCCACCACGACCAGCCGGAGCCTCTTCATCCTGCACAGCCTGACGCACACTGTGACCCTAACCTGCGGCTTTTATCTGCAAGGTTAATCCACAACTAGGTGTTGCAATGCATCAGCTCCGGTCCAGGAATCTGTACCTAAAACGTCACTATAAGCGCCTTTCTCCGACTTGTCTCTTGCAAAACAAGCCATAAAAGACTGGTTATTCATGAACCTATTCAGGCATGGGCGTAGGTTTGCATAGGGACCATAGGGACATGTCCCTACCAAAATTTTGAACCGACCTAATTGTCCCGACCAATAATTGGATGTGAGCAACATGTTTATAATTTCCAGCAGTAGTTGTTGCAGCAGTGGCTTCTTTTCCTCTCGCAGCTCCTCTGCCTGGTCTCTCCTGTCCCTTTCATGTAGCAGCGCATGGAACTGCTGCGCTGTTTAACTCCACTCTCATTGGTTGTTCTGCCTTAAGTTCCGCCTTCTTTCTCTCTGATTGGCTGTTTTCTAGTCCGCGTGTGCTTGGAGCACAACATTGAAAATGTATTCACACTAGAATGCAGCGGTTACTACAATTAATATTAGGCTACAAAACTAGTCCCAATAAAAAAAAAAATAATATCATGTTCACTAAAGAACAAAAACCTTTTTTTTTCTTTTATAAAACGAAATATTCTGGGTCAGCCAGGAGTTCTGAAGACTGCTGGAAAAATGGGCAAATAAAGCTGTAAGCCATCAACATTTCTGATTCTTAGCCACAGCCACCTAAAACAGAAAATGTGAGGGTTTCCTTTTTACCGATATTTAGTTGATATTACTGTTTTCATTTTTTTGTTTTTATTTTTACAATTTTGATATAATAACTGATCTAAGTGGGTTGCTCTGTGGGGAAAGGCACATTTTACATTTATATTACTGTATGTTTTAGAGTCTCTATTCTCCAGTTAATGATGAATCACTCACTAAATTAGTTGACGATTATTGAAATAATCAATTAATATGATTAATTTTTTTCAGCCCCAGATGAAATACATGAAATGGGCGACACAGAGTAACTACAGCCCAGATGTTCAACTTTTATAGTGAAGTTAATATTTTAATGATTGTATTATTTTGCTTGATACAGAGAGAGAATAGTAGGTAAAATATAACAGTGGGGTTTAACTCTGCACAATTCTATATCTTCAGAAGAAAATACTGTATTTACCTTCTCTCTTAGTCGTTCAAATCAAACCGTTTTCAAAGTGGAAAACAGTCCTAATTCCACATTGATCAGAGCCGGTGATACTTCAAACATTGATAAACAGCATCTAATGAGTGTAGAGCTTATAAAATTTTTATTAGTGGAGCAAAATGTTGCTTTTCTCTTTTAACAATGAATTCCTCTTATCAGTACGGATGCTCACATCGAGCATAAAAAAGGGCATGCATATTGCATAGCACCAATGACACCAGACCAATACTGTCCCTACCAAAGTTCAAATCAAACCTACGCCCTTGTATTCAGGTGACGTAACAGAACTATTTAGGTCACTTAATTAAATGGCTCTAGAAGCTATACCTAAAAAACACCGCAGTGAAGTTAGTTTCAAGTTGGATATTCGATTTTCGCGCTCCGCGGGCCAAGCGCTTTTTAGCTCGCGGCGGATCCAATTTATGTACGCTAATGTCGGCCAGCAGTTCACCACCGCTCCCTTTCCAAGCGCTCCGTGCTTCACTTAGGGACCGTCAACAAATTTCCGAACCAAACAGTGCTGACATAAAAATATTAATAAATGTCTTTCCTTGTGACCAACTAACATATTAAGTGGTAATTCATGCTTTTACATTACATAAATTACATTTTATTGAATTGTAAAGCTATAATCAATATTTAAACAATTTAAATATTAAATAATAAAATCTTTTCGTCAATAGCTCCCAGGCCGTGTGACCTATTGACCCCAAATCACTTGGAAATTGTTCTAATAGTCTCTCTAGATGGGGCACACTCATTTGATTTTCATTTTAACTCTTTTTTTATTTTTTAGCAATTTTCTTTGTTAAAATTGAGGATTTCTCGTCAATAGCTCCCAGGTCATGTGACCTATTGACCCAAAATCAGCATGAAATTGTTCTAATAGTCTCTCTAGATGAGGCACACTCATTTGATTTTCATTTTAACTCTTTTTTTATTTTTTAGCAATTTTTTTTTGTTAAAACTGAGGATTTTTCGTCAATAGCTCCCAGGTCATGTGACCTATTGACCCAAAGTCAGCATGAAATTGTTCTAATAGTCTCTCTAGATGGGGCACACTCATTTGATTTTCATTATAACTTTTTTTTTTTTAGCTATTTTTTTTGTTAAAATTTAGGATTTTTCGTCAATAGCTCCCAGGTCATGTGACCTATTGACCCAAAATCAGCATGAAATTGTTCTAATAGTCTCTCTAGATGGGGCACACTCATTTGATTTTCATTATAACTTTTTTTTTTTTAGCTATTTTTTTTGTTAAAATTTAGGATTTTTCGTCAATAGCTCCCAGGTCATGTGACCTATTGACCCAAAATCAGCATGAAATTGTTCTAATAGTCTCTCTAGATGGGGCACACTCATTTGATTTTCATTATAACTTTTTTTTTTTTAGCTATTTTTTTTGTTAAAATTTAGGATTTTTCGTCAATAGCTCCCAGGTCATGTGACCTATTGACCCAAAATCAGCATGAAATTGTTCTAATAGTCTCTCTAGATGGGGCACACTCATTTGATTTTCATTATAACTCTTTTTTTTTTTTTAGCTATTTTTTTTGTTAAAATTGAGGATTTTTCGTCAATAGCTCCCAGGTCATGTGACCTATCGACCCAAAATCAGCATGAAAAAAAGTACATTTTATCTCAGAAACAAGGGTTTAAAGCCCTTTTGTTAAAAATCTGGACAGATTTTTTCTCAGGTGCACTGGACTTAGAAGGACGATGCCCCTCCTGCAGCTATTGCTGCACATTGTCTGTTTTCCGGCTTAAAGAAGGCCAGTAAACATTTCACTAACCGACAACTCAGAAGAATTTGGCCATTAAAAAAAAACTTCTGTCACAAAATGTCCCCTACACTTTGTACACTTTTTCAAACATCAGTTTTTGTCCCCTGCATGTTTTACTGACCAAAAACAATGTTGTGCTACAGTATACAGACATTCGTCGAGCAGGACCAAGCGGAAAGCCGCAGCTCAAGCTGAAGCCTGCTTCCCTATGTTAGACCGCCCACAAGATCCTGATTGGCCCACCGTCTTTTTCTGTGTGATTGGCTGTCTCTGCTGTCACTCCTTAGAAGCTCACTTTCAAATACCTGATGCACCACTGAATCGGGTCTGTGATTGGATAGTCAAACACACTGAAGTTAGTTATATTCAAAAATACTAGAGAGACTATTAGAACAATTTCATGCTGATTTTGGGTCAATAGGTCACATGACCTGGGAGCTATTGACGAGAAATCCTCAATTTTAACAAAAAAAATTGCTAAAAAATAAAAAAAGAGTTCAAATGAAAATCAAATGAGTGTGCCCCATCTAGAGAGACTAGTAGAACAATTTCCAAGTGATTTTGGGTCAAAAGGTCACATGACCTGGGAGCTATTGACGAGAAATCCTCAATTTTAACAAAAAAAATTGCTAAAAAATAAAAAAAGAGTTAAAATGAAAATCAAATGAGTGTGCCCCATCTAGAGAGACTATTAGAACATTTTCATGCTGATTTTGGGTCAATAGGTCACATGACCTGGGAGCTATTGACGAGAAATCCTCAATTTTAACAAAAAAAATTGCTAAAAAATAAAAAAAGAGTTAAAATGAAAATCAAATGAGTGTGCCTCATCTAGAGAGACTATTAGAACAATTTCCAAGTGATTTTTGGTCAAAAGGTCACATGACCTGGGAGCTATTGACGAGAAATCCTCAATTTCAACAAAAAAAATTGCTAAAAAATAAAAAAAGAGTTAAAATGAAAATCAAATGAGTGTGCCCCATCTAGAGAGACTATTAGAACATTTTCATGCTGATTTTGGGTCAATAGGTCACATGACCTGGGAGCTATTGACGAAAAATCCTCAATTTTAACAAAAAAAATTGCTAAAAAATAAAAAAAGAGTTAAAATGAAAATCAAATGAGTGTGCCTCATCTAGAGAGACTATTAGAACAATTTCCAAGTGATTTTTGGTCAAAAGGTCACATGACCTGGGAGCTATTGACGAGAAATCCTCAATTTCAACAAAAAAAATTGCTAAAAAATAAAAAAAGAGTTAAAATGAAAATCAAATGAGTGTGCCCCATCTAGAGAGACTATTAGAACATTTTCATGCTGATTTTGGGTCAATAGGTCACATGACCTGGGAGCTATTGACGAAAAATCCTCAATTTTAACAAAAAAAATTGCTAAAAAATAAAAAAAGAGTTAAAATGAAAATCAAATGAGTGTGCCCCATCTAGAGAGACTAGTAGAACAATTTCCAAGGGATTTTGGGTCAAAAGGTCACATGACCTGGGAGCTATTGACGAGAAATCCTCAATTTTAACAAAAAAAAATTGCTAAAAAATAAAAAAAGAGTTAAAATGAAAATCAAATGAGTGTGCCCCATCTAGAGAGACTAGTAGAAATATTTCCAAGGGATTTTGGGTCAAAAGGTCACATGACCTGGGAGCTATTGACGAGAAATCCTCAATTTTAACAAAAAAAATTGCTAAAAAATAAAAAAAGAGTTAAAATGAAAATCAAATGAGTGTGCCCCATCTAGAGAGACTATTAGAACAATTTCCAAGTGATTTTGGGTCAAAAGGTCACATGACCTGGGAGCTATTGACGAAAAATCCTCAATTTCAACAAAAAAAATTGCTAAAAAATAAAAAAAGAGTTAAAATGAAAATCAAATGAGTGTGCCCCATCTAGAGAGACTATTAGAACATTTTCATGCTGATTTTGGGTCAATAGGTCACATGACCTGGGAGCTATTGACGAGAAATCCTCAATTTTAACAAAAAAAATTGCTAAAAAATAAAAAAAGAGTTAAAATGAAAATCAAATGAGTGTGCCCCATCTATAGAGACTATTAGAATAATTTCCAAGTGATTTTGGGTCAGAAGGTCACATGACCTGGGAGCTATTGACGAAAAATCCTCAATTTCAACAAAAAAAATTGCTAAAAAATAAAAAAAGAGTTAAAATGAAAATCAAATGAGTGTGCCTCATCTAGA